TCGTGGGCCTGGTTCCCCGCCTGCATCATCGCCCGCAGCAGCCGGGAACCTGGGACTTCGCGCCCGGCACGCGGGGCTGCGGGTTCGAGAACTCCCGCCCGTGGCACAAGTGCCGGTGTCTTTAAAAGGTGGTGCTGTCCACACCCCACGCTGGGAAGAACCGGCCCCGCGCGGTTTGGAAAATGGATGCTTTCTGCTTGTTCCACGAGAGTTCAAACGCTGGGCACAATTTGTAACTCCATCCGCCACAAAGGGGGCCTGGCCAGCGGGGCCCATATCACTTCTCTCTTTAGACAGTCAGACCGCAGGCTGCCCTGAAACAGGAGGATGGGGCCCAGCAAAGCAGTGATTTCCGCGGCTAAAACACAGAGCGCAGTAAAACCACACGTGCGAGGCGGCCGCCGGCCCAGCGTGGACCAGGAAGGAGGCCGGAGCCCTGGCGTTTCTGCAGCAGGAGGCCCCTAGGGACCAGCTTGTCGGGGGTATGGGGGGGCACAGCCGGGCTGCCCACCTCCGTCAGGGTCTGCATGCAGCTTAGGGACGCCCGGAGCTACCAGAAGCCCCCCCGGCCGGGCTGCTGCTGGGATGGCACCTCCTTGCAGCCGGCAGCTTGACTGCCAGGCAGTGAGACGGTCACCACTGGAGCCACTGGGCAGTGGCGCGTTGGAGAAGCAGGTCCAGACAACTGGTTATTTAAGTCTGGAAACACTTAAGACAACTTGGGAAAACCATTCTTTTCAAGTTTTAAAATTCAAATGGGCTCCAGGGTCGGGGGTCCCAGGGAAGGAAACCAGCGCTTGTGAGGGTGTCCGCGGGCGCGAGGCGCGCGAGGACCGGGAGGCCGCGTGGGGACATCTGGCCTCTCCGTGCTGGAGGCTCCTTGGCCACTGGCCGGGTGGGGAAAAGGGGTCTTGGTTAGTGGCCGTCTCGCCCCTTGAATCCTCTCCCTGGGGTCTGGCACCAGCACCAGGATGGCCCCCCTTCCCGCCTCAGGAGCGTAGGGCAGACGCACAGCCGTGGGGCAAGG